ACAGCTACTTGGAAGGCTGAGGCGGAAGGATCGCCGGAGCCCAGCAGGTCGAGGCTGCAGTGCCTGAGAGCAGCCACTGCACTCCAGTCTGGGTGACAGAGTGAGACTCCAAAAAAAAAAAAGTTGCAGAATAAAAATAAAACCCACCAAAAGATGGCCGAGGCCTGGAGCCACTGAGCAACAATCGTGACCACCACACACCTCCACGGCCACTGAGGTCAGAGGATACAGGCCATAACCAACGGCATCCACACAAAAGTGTGAGGAGATTCAGTGAAGGAAACAACCCACCAAGCTATCACTACCATCCATGCTGTAACAGGCAATCCAAAGAACGACCCTGAACCATTAACACAAAGTTAAATCATACTCCAGGTACTACATTAAGACAAAGGAGTTGCCGCGTGAATACCTATAATCCCAGCATTTTGGGAGACCAAGGTGAGAGAACTGCCTGAGCCCAGGGGGTCTAGACCAGCCTGGGCAACTTGGTGAGACCCCCATCTCTACAGTAAAACAAAAAATGAGCCAGGCATGGTGGTGCATGCCCGTGGTTTCAGCTACTTGGAAGGCTGAGGCGGAAGGACTGCCTGAACCCAGCAGGTCAAGGCTGCAGTGGCTATGAGCATGCCACTGCCCTCTAGCCTGGGTGACAGAGTGAGGGTCTAACTGAAAAAAAAAGTGTACATAATTCCAAGACATTTGATATAGTTAAAAGATGTTTGCCGGCCTGACACAAAGGCTCACACCTGTCATCCCAGCGCTTTGGGAGGCAGAGATGAGAGGATTGCCTGATACCATGGGTTCGAGACCAGCCTGGGCAACTTGGTGAGACTGCGTCTCTAAAATAAATCCAAAAATTAGCTGGGCATGGTGGTGTGTGCCTGTGGTTCCAGCTACTTGGAAGACTGAGGCAGAAGGATTGCCTGAGCCCAGCAGGTCGAGGCTACAGTGGCCATGAGAGTGCCACTGCCCTCCAGCCTGGGCGACAGAGTGAGATCCAACTCAAAAAAAAAAAAAGAAGACCAAGGAGTTGGCAATACATTTGAAGACACCCAGATGCACACCTGTCTGCCACCCCCTGAATACTCTACAGGCAGGCAGCAGTTTACAGTTCACAGTGTGCTTTGTGCAAGTGTCACCTCCTTCTGATAGTTCCCAAAACTGTTAAGCTGTGTTAGAAATGAGGAAACTGACCCTGCTTTCTGACTCCAAGCACAAGGCTTTTCTCACGGGCCTACACTACCACCTTTCCATGTGCCCAGAATAAAGACTCCGTAACTGAGGGTGGCATCAGACAACACCCACGTCACCATCACTTCAGACATGACGTCACTGTCACACAGTTTAGCATGAGCATTCTAAGCCTTTATGACAGCTGCAATCAATGTCCTCATTTCCAGCTACTGCTTAATCCATACCTTGTGTTTCCTTAACTAATTGTAACGATAATACAGTCAACCCCAAGTTAAGAGCCCTGAAGACACCTCTTAACCTGGCGCTTCCTACAAATGCCGTCTTTGGACTTCACTGGTCAAGCCCGTGCCAACCTCAGGAATATTCCTCCGTGACCGTAGACGGAAGAGATGGCTGCCTGGCAAGGGGAAGGAAGAAGGTAGATGGCCTGATTCCTCCCCCAAGTGTCTGAAAGCCGTTTATAAAAGTGCAGCTGGAGAGGAAATGCATCTGAAGATCCCACCCCCTACACAGTTGTAAGGAAGACGCTGCAATGCTTCATATCATCTGTGCCCCACAGACTGAGGCGGGCACGTTTCATCCACACTGGAATTCTGCCTAGGGCGACTCGATCTCTACTCAAGACTCTGCTTCCGGGCATACATTCTGAGCTAGAGATGCATGGAAATGTTGTCTTTGACAGAGCACACATGTACAGGAACCAGCTCACCTCCATCCCAGCAAGATTGGCACTCTGTGCTCACGGGGCCCTAGCGCAAAAGCGCTTAACCTGGGTCCGGGGACAGAATTCAGGGGTCCGTTGATTTGAATGGGGAAAAAATTTCTATCTTCATTCTCACTAATTTTGAACTGAAGTGCAGCCTTTCCTTCGACTGTGAGTGTACGTAACAAATCACAACAGTATTAGCAATACCTGTGATTTCTTTTTTCTTTTTTTGAGTTGGAGTCTCACTCTGTCACCCAGACTGGAGTGCAGTGCCACTCCCGGCCACTGCAGCCTCGACCAGGTGGGCTCCGGCGATCCTTCTGCCTCAGCCTTCTGAGTAGCTGGAATTACAGGCATGCGCTATCACGCCCGTCTGATTTTTTGTTTTATTGTAGAGATGAGGTCTCGCCAAGTTTCCCAAGGGGTCTCGAACCGGTGGGCTCAGGCAATCCACTCACCTCAGCCTCCCAAAGCGCGGGATTACAGGCTGAGCCCTCGAGCCGGCAATACCTGTGATTTCACCACCAACAAAGGCCAGTGCTCATGACAAATATCTCAGGCATCACTTCCGGACCTCACTACATCAGATGGTATCAGATCCGCTCCCAAACCTTAGCATTTAAGGTGTCAATAACAAAAGCACACGTGTTGCCAGCTCATTTACTGTTGTGTTAACTGCATTTAACACAACGCTTCCTTTGCAGTCCTAAATATTTTACTCCATGCATTCAGACACACGATTCCAAGAAGGTGTCACCAGTCTGCCCAACAGGCTCACAGCACAAGAAGGCCAAGAACACCTGGGGTCACCCTGGTTCTCGGGGCTCCCAGCTGAGAACTGAAACTCAACTATAATTAGAATGTTCGCTTTCAAAATATAGTCCAAATAGCCATACCACTGGATGTTGCTGTTTAAAGAAAAACCCTTTCATGAGGCTCATTTCTCCCCGTGTCCTTGGAAACTGTAAGCATGGCTGGACACAACTAGTGAGGCCTGAGTCCATCTTGTTCTCAGTTCAGCTTACCTCTTTCATTGTGTAAGTGTCTTTTTGTGCACCGACAGACTGTAACAACTTCAAAAGCAAAGGCTTTGGTCGTACCTGTAAAGAAAAGAGCTGCTATTGTACTTCCAGTTATTCTAGAACAAAGCCCTGCAGCAAACATGCCCACAAAAGATGTTCAACAAAGGCAGTAGACACCACGTTTAGTAAGTTCACAAAGAGAGACCCTAAAAAGCAGGTTATAACATCTCAACTAAACGTAATGGTTAGATTTTGTAGACCAAATACCACAGCAGGCAGGAGGGCAGGAGGAGAAGGAGGACCTACTTATTATGTGACCACGGAGCCCCAAGTACCATCAGATGTGACTACAAACAAGCCGGCCTGAGACAGCCAGGCTCCTCCTCAGCTCCCTCCCTCCCCGCCAAGGCCTTGCAGCCCCACTGGGTTCAGAACCGGGGGCTCAGACCTGGGGGCTCGTTTCAGGCTGAGCAAACCCAAGAGGAAGTTCACCTTCAGGGCATCCCTACCCTGTTTTTTTTTTTGAGTTGGAGTCTCACTCTGTCGCCCAGACTGGAGTGCAGTGGCCACTCCTGGCCACCACAGCCTTGACCTACTGGGCTCTGGCGATCCTTCCGCCTCAGCCTTCCAAGTAGCTGGAATTACAGGCACGTGCTACCACGGCCAGCTAGCTTTTTTATTTTACTGTAGAAATGAGGTCTCGCCACGTTGCCCAGGCGGGTCTTGAACCCGCGGGCTCAGGCAAGCCACTCACCTTGGCCTCCCAAAGCGTGGGATTACAGGCTGAGCCACCGAGCCCGGCCTCCCACCCTCTTTTTAAAGATGAATTCCTGGCCCACTGACTAGGGTCATCAGCAGCAGCTCTGGGATGGCGACTCCATCTCTTGCCGCCGCAGCCTGAAGTCAGTCTACATGTACTGAATCTGGTCCAGGCGCCGAACATCTGCAGAGCGCCGCGCACTGGACAGCACGAGGTACGCAAAAAAACCACACACGAGGCATGTGGCCTGTGCCCGAGGAGCCTGCCGGCTAGACTAGAAGCCAGTTTTTTCTGCAAAGGGCCAGACAGTAACTATTTCAAGCTTTTAAGCAGATGTCTACCCAACTCAAAAGTGTAGATGCTATGTAATCCAACGGGTCATGGGGGTGGCTGCACTCCCGTAAAATTCTATTTACAAAAGCGGCCAGCAGGCCATACCTGGCCCAGCATTGACCTGGAGCTTTACAAGCAGAACTGAGAAAATAACCAGCAGGGACGCTCTCCTGGCTTCCTGTCACTGCATCAAAACATGCCACACTCAAGCCTGCGATGTGGGCATCTTTACGCACAGCCTGGAGAGCACCCTCCTCCACCAGCGGGTCCTGTGTCTAACCTTGAAATCTAACAGCATTCCCATCTGGGATCTCTTGAAACCAGACTTCTAAAAACTACCTATTTCCAGCTAATCAACAGAACAAACATTATTTAACAATTCAAAAGCTTAAAAGGCACAACAAATGTAAAACTGAATTCTCAATTGTTTCTGATCACACTTGTAAAAAATGTGCTTACTTATGCACTTGACTTTCAGGCCAAAGAATGAACTCTCAGAAAAGACTTTAAAATTACTGTTTCCTCCGGAACTTTTATATATGCTACATTACCTTCAAGTTGCATAAAAAAAACCAAAAGTAAAAATCTGCAATGGAAAGCCATCCATTTACTATTGACTTAAAAGACACGCATCAGTAAGGAAACCACTACCAAAACAATACCACTCAGGACCTCACATTTAAGGACAAAAAGATAAACTCAGGTGAGCCTCTAGATGGAAAAAGTTAAATGCTACAATAAAACACCGGAATGCACTTGCAAGATCTTGGGATGGGAGAGCTCTGATATGAAATTCACGAGCCAATAAACGTCAACCGATGGGACTTCCCAAAAATGTTCTCCCCAGGCACGGAGGCTCATGCCTGTCATCCCAGCACTTCGGGAGGCGGAGGCGAGAGGACTGTCCGAGTCCAGAGGTTCGGGACCAGCCTGGGCAACGTGGCGAGACCGCTGTCTCTACGATGCATTTCAGAAAAAGAAGAATCAGCCGGGCGTGGTGGGCGCGCCTGTGGATGCAGCCAGAGGAAGGCCGAGGCGGGAGGCCCGCATGAGCCCAGCAGGTGGGGGCTGCGTGGCCGGGAGCTGCCACCTGAACTGCCACCGCGCTCCACCGGCCACGGTGCGAGTGCGACTCAAGAAACGTCACAGGCCGGTCCCGCTCAGAGCTGGCAGAGCGAAGCGGCCACGGCGCTGCGGCGGGCGCGTACCAGCCGCG